AACTGCAAGCCTAAAACCTAGTATCATTCTTTGTTTATTGGTTATTTCATTTATTTTTTAATTTGATTGATTTGTGTATTGTTATTTGTTTAATTTTCAGTATCCATTCATTTTATMATTGCTTTTCCCAGGTTAAAACAACATCTCCAGGGAGCTATCGTGTTCGTCCAAGTGCTGGTGTRATCAGYTGTRGTTCTTTTACTGATGTTAGCGTGTATTTACAACCCGGTTAGTTCACATTACACCAGACCATCCATTCGTTTTTCGAGTCAGTCAAGTAATGATGGTTCTTTACTTTATTGCAGGTCACACATTAAATGTTAGTAAAGAYAAGTTTCTGGTTATGTCAACCGAAGTAAGCGAAGGCATGTCTGCAGCAGATGTCGCCAATGTTTGGAAAACTACTCCCAAATCAAATATCTCKGATCACAGGTATTTAGCCATTAATACGAATTAGAAAATAGYTGATGGGAAAATRCATTGTGTTTATCAGAGTRATCATKTTAAATTGTGGTGATSTTTTAGCGTSAAAATTGTATTTTCTCAATTTGRGAGGGATGAGGAATGGGGTTAATAGCCGTCATCCGTCTTCAGTTGTGTTTTTCTACTGCTAGGTTACGATGTTCAATCGTGTCAACAATCATACCAAACGAGGCTCATCATTCAGAGAATGACAGCATAACTGGCACCATAACTAACAGCAAAATTAGTGTAACAACTTCTCCTTCTGTGGCTGAACAGCTGAAATCCATGGAACGAAAGGTAYGGTCGTTACTCAGGCAGTCTATTTTACGGCCAGTATTTTGTGAAAGTCCCCAGACTGCTGGGCRTGGTTGCATTGGCCTCAGCAAAGATACTGCCTCCTATGCAGCAGACGTGATGTCTGCGTAGGAGGTCGCCTTATCACTTTCAAATTGATAACTACTGCTTCATTTGGCAGCAGACGATCTTACATGAAGATAACCAAAGCACGAAAACTGAGAATATCCGTATTTACATATTGTCATTTAAAAACAAAATGCAAAATAATAGATTGAACGCACCAAGTCAAGTTAGAACATTGATTTAATGCCAGTCCACACCTCTAAACCACCTCTCTTCTCGTTGAGCACGTTTTATTTCACTTTTGTCATTTGTGTTGAAAGAAGTGAAGATGTTGAACACTTCATATGTGTTTATTTAATTATGAATTCGTATTTGATGGTTCCTCTCATTACTTTCAGATCGACCGAATCGAGAAAAAGATAACTTACATAGAAGAAGGGCTMCAGATGTTCATTAAAATACAGATAGGTTTATTTTCATTCATGGTGATTCTATTCTCAATTGGATTTTATTATTTTACGTATCTCATTTAGCAAATGATTAATGACAACAAAAATAGCACAGCTCCTGATTTTCAGCAGGGGAACTGGGTACTAGTAGTTTATAAACCGGGAGAATCTATGTAGCACTCAGTTGATGTAATATATTCATAAAGATATAATACAAAACACATAATACAATAGAACGAGAAACAATGGAATACAATACATTTTATGAATACATTACATCAACTGCATGCTACGTAGGTCACCCCTTTATAAACCTTTATAAATGTAAAACCCAGGCCCTTGTCGAAGATCAGTCTAATAACCCCCGGGGAGGGGGGGAACTCCCTTATAAACGTTGGTAGGTATGCTCGACGGACCTTTTAGGGTCGAAAATAAAACCCTTGCGTACCTTTTGGGGTCCTGAGCTGACTCCGTACCTTTTAGGGTCAATTTTCGAACAACAGGATAAAAAAATTGAAGAAAGAGATTAAAGAAATAGATTTTATTCATTAAAAAAAATAATAATAATTAAAGAAATAGATTTTATTAACCTCAGCAATCTATCGACATTGATTTTCTACAGTTTGTTAAACTTGAGCTTTTGAAGACGTCAAAAATGCTCGTACCTCTTAGGGTCTCGAATCGATACTTGAATTAATTTATACGTACCTTTTAGAATCATTTTTCAATTCGTCCGTCGAGCATACCTACCAACTTTTATAAGGGAGTACCTTCCCCCCGGGTCTAACACAGTCGTGAAAGTTGAATCAGGGATCAGTAATATTTTTGATGAAAGGAATTTTCAGAAGTCAAAGGGTTGGGATAGTATTATATTTTCATTCTATAGGGATCAAAACAATAAAAAAATGTGAAAAAAAATTAAAGAAAGTGATCCCTGGTCTGGCGAACTTGAAATAATACAAAGTGATAATAGGTTAARTCAATCAATCATTTCCGTTGTATTTTTATGGCTAGAAATACTAGCATATTTTTATTTTTATTTTTAATTAAATTATATGCATTATGGCATAATTGCTACTGTAATTTGCTTTTGAAAAGCATTATCATATCAATAGTTCTAACGTGTTGCGTTTCTGTTATCATAACGTTGTTGTTTGATTTCTTGTGTTTTCGTACACACACACGGACTGGTGGTAGATGCATGCACCTCTCCTGGTCTTACTCTGTTATTAAAATGTCCAGTCGGTCCAGGAAACAGGTCATTTGAATAAATATTATCTTCTTAACCTTAAATTACAATTATTGAGAAAATTAAGGCGAAAGTGTACGTTCTTTTTTTTATTTGAAATAAAATACAAATTTTCAAGGCGATATTGTTTGACGTGTATTTTGTCTGGTTAATGACAGTTAGAGGGGGCACTTAGCTATGGATACCATTCAATTTTCTAACTATCGCTGATCGCCAATTAGCAGGCTGAAATCTAGTTCATGCTGTGGTTTCATTTGATTTCTTCTTTGGCAATTAGTGATTTTAGCTCATTATTGATATGCTGTGTGTGAACATTTAATATTCACTACGCCTGGCTCTCATGAAAAAAATAAACCTGGTKAAAACATTGGGTAGTACAGTAGTGTATGGCTCTTCCATATCATCAATTGGCTCCAGATTTTCAATTTACTRGCGTAATCTCTCTTTTTTTACTTTTTACRAAGTGCCACAAACGTTTTGCATTATTGTACGTGACTCGAAGTTTGTGTCAGTGCACTATGAATAACTGACACCTGTCAATTACTGTACAAAATGTACTTGATAGGCTGATATCCTTTTTCACTCCATAGATGTTTACTATATTTTCTAGTTGACAAMAACATAGTATTAGAAACAAAAAATACATGAACATAGGGAGGCAACCATATAYCATGGCCTTGTATCTTTTTGACACTTCCCAATTCAGRCATCCTTTGAAAAGCCGAAATGACAAATTGACTTGTGGTCGGCCGGACGTGTTAAATAGGGTTTTGGGTAGGCTGACAAAAAGCAAGGCAGGTCTMATCTCTCAAGCAAGTGTACCAACTGCAGCGAACAGATTTAAGCTTCCTTCAGACAGCCATCCAATKAGAATCAAGACATTTTGACATGTGTTTGGTGGTAACTTTACATGTTACTKAGGCTACCCTCAACTAACTACAAARTATCSCGGTCCTCAAGATTGTTCCTAATAACGCGAATCTCTATGCCAACTAATAGATTGCAGAACGGATTGCAGTCAGCCCAACCAACTCTTAGAAGATCAGCGCTAGTGTAAAGTGTAAGGCCGTTTTTTCTGACATTCAACAGTAATTGGATCGATTTCATTTTTATTGCTTCCAGGTAAGGGTTAAAGGAAAGTATGGCAMTGTGGAAAACAAATCAAAGATAATTAGTTTTACAAATACTGATTAATTTMGTTAATGTGACACAGGTTGTTTCGCGCACTACTTTTTCTTACTCAGTTTAGTATGACATCGCAAGAAGAGACATGCAGTGCCTAATCTCTCAAATGGGACTTTTTTATTTTATTTTGTTTTTATTTTTATAGCTAAGAATCACTGTAAAACATCAGTGACATGTTTCAGTGTTTGCTTGCTTTTTTGTACTTATAAAAAGTGGSCGTGCAGCATCGTCYATGAAAAAATAACGAAAAGGTTAATACACAATGCAAAAAACGAGGATTTTTTTATCTGGAATGCTTTGATACAGGAGCCCATTAAGAATTTATTTAGTAATGGGCTCCTATTTGATATGATTTCTTGATGATTTCATGTGACGGTGATTCACTGAAGCTGTACATGTTTTTTTTTTGTTTTGTTTTTTTTGATATGCTACCTTTTAGCTGTTTACATCATAAAAAACAGCTTTTTGATTTCCGTAGACTGAGCTTGTTATGTTCCAATGATTGAATCAGCCGTTTATGCCGCAGGGGAGGGTGGGGGTCTCTGCTTTGTTTCCCAGAATTTTCTGATCTGCTCATTTTTTTCAGGGGCCATTCGCATCTCCGGATCATCATTTACCAAAAGATGAAGACTTTGCTGATTGTARYATGTTTTGTCKCGATGATGACCACTTTAGTTAGTGGGCGCAGTATGAAAATGAAGACCAGAGAGTCGGCTACCGACCATGACGATTGCGTCTTTAAGTGCGAAGACACCCGTGACAGATGCCGTGACAAGTTTAACAGTGGCAATAACATCATTGAATTCGAAAAGTGCGGCGATACATTCAGTAATTGTGAAAAGGATTGCATGATAATTCACCAATAATCATTTCGGCTACAATCTAAGGGTTTGATATTATACATGTAGTAAACAGGGATTGCAAATGTATTGCGAATAAAAATCAATGCAAACATTATACAATTTATGTTGTTTCTTCTTTAATGCACGTTTTACAGACGATTGAAGGTTGCCTCCTCCACAGGCATCTTGCTTTTCCAGTTTCATATTGTTTGGGTTCCCTGTGGGGAAATTGGATAAGAGCGGGTACTGGTCCTGCTCACTTACARCCTCGTTCCCAGGGGTTCTCTGCTCGCAAWTTTGAAGAAAGAGGACATGTGAACGAGGTTGGCCAGAGGCTGGCTGTTCTCTCGTTTCYGTTGTTTTGATCTAATTGTGCTCTCCATTATAGGCATTTCAGCCTCAGTCAAATCTAAGTTCAAATATTTTTGTRTAAGTGTCATCTCTTCTGGGATCCCTTTGGTGTCCCTTGGCCAAGTAGGGCGGTCTAGATCACCAATTGTCCAGGAAGACTGAAAGCCCAGAATAAAGAGCCAAAAACTGGAGGAGACAAATTTCAGAGGAGACCACAGAATGTACTAAAATTAAAGGTAAAAGTTTTACTTGAGGGAAGGCAATTAGATTAAAAACTAAAATATATGCAAAATTAATGGAGAGAATATCTGGACTTTATTATTATATCAAACTAGATTTTGGTCTCAAACATGGTTCCATGTCCTGGTACAATGTAATCTGCCATTTGCCTTACTATATCTCTATTCTTTTCTTGTTTACTAAYACACTGACTAAAATCCCTCCAGCAATCTTCATCATTCTTACATTCAAACAAATCCCCAGCAATGGCAACAGTTCCATGCTTTGTGTTGTACACTACAACAGTTATGTCYTCTCCWGTGTGGCCCACTGTAGGAATGATCTCAATTTGACCATCTTCTAATACAAAAGGTTCCCCATTTTGAAGTGAATTTTCCATATACACATCATCTTTATARCAAATGTCATTGCCAACGATGTGAACAGCTTTTGGAAATAAATTCAAGTTACCAACATGGTCTACRTGTCCATGAGTRCATACCACGTGATCAACATCATWTAATTTAATATTGAGTTTTTCCAAGGAATCTAAAAGTTTGTCTTTGTCCCTTGGGCTGCCTGTGTCCACTAGAATAATATGCTTTTTAGTTTTTACYAAAGTAATTGACCCTGTTGCTCGCAATCTTTGCTCAGTGTCAGTAAAAGCGTATCCTTCTTGAATAATATAAATTTCATTTTCAATGGTTTTCTCTCCTCTTTTCGCCATCTTTGATAGTTCAAGTTTTTAATGAGCATGCTCCTTAACAACACAACTGACCAAATATCACAGGCTCAAGTCTGTTTGAAGGCTGATGTTCTTCATTTTGTGTTTTGGTTGATTTTTCTRCTTTTTTCAGTAAAATGTCCGGTAACGAAAACGAAAATAAGCCTGATATGAAGATGGTTTCAATACCTTTGTCATCAGATGATGAAATAACGAATGGTGGTACGAATTTATCTATGAATCCACTTTTATTGTGTTTATGAAATTTTAGTAAGCTTAACCGTTAGTAAAAATTAACAATCGTTTAATATGACCTTTCCTTAAAGCTCATTAAGCTCATTTTGTGTATAATTACTTTGATTAGGGAATCTTCGAGGTAGCCAGACTCTGAAGACAGATAAAGTACCTGGTAAATATTAACATGACTTTTCATAATAAAATTATTTTTGAGATGAAATGCATGATTACTTAATTCTTAGCTGACTTCATAAATGATTGTATCTTTTTTGTGATTGTACAGATGAAATCCTTGATGAAAATGAAGTAGAGGAGAAAAATAGACTCATAAATGAAGTGCTTGAGCTGCAAAATACTCTTGATGGTGTGTTGACAGGACYGTATTTAAAATTGCATTTTTTGTATGAATGGATGAAAACCTGGAAWATCTCAGCCTTTACCTTAAAGTTGTAGCTACTGACATGAGCTGGACATTTARATCGAAACTTCTTTATGATAATTGACCAGCTACATCTATTGTCATGCTATATTTACAGTGTATTTGCTATACATAGATCTCTCACAAAGGGTTGATGCTGTGAAAGATGAAAATCTAAAGCTTAAGTCTGAAAACCAGGTAGGAGCCATTACAYATCTAATTCATTGATTGGAGTTCATGACAAAAAAAATCAAAATTGAGTTTGGCCTTTTTAAYGGCATTCATGTCAGCTCTTTGAAAACCAATTTCTGTATTATGCAGGTCCTTGGCCAGTATATTGAAAACCTGATGTCAGCCTCAAGTGTATTCCAACCAACAAGTACAGGGGGCAAAAAAAGGTTTGTTTTCATTGTGCAATGGTAGCAAATTGTGCAAATGGATGAAGAGATGTACATATAACTAAGAGAAATAAATACACAATACATGTACAAAAGAAGCATCATTCTGGAAAAATGAAATCTAATYTTGATACACAGGAAACCCATCCTCTTCATTTATTGACAATAATGAAAACTGTGAATGAATTTCTAATACTTTAGGTATATTTGGAAAAGACTATGAATAAAATATGTTTTTCTTTTTAGGCAAAGTTCTGGAAAAACAACTCCAAAAAGAGGAGACAAAAGATGAAGAAATAATATGACAAATTAAGTGCAATTTTTTTATTAATTAGCAAAGTTATTCTTAAAGTTGAAAGATGATTAGGCAGTAGTTGCTGCTATATTATTGCGCCAGACAACTGTGTTTATTTCTTTATATTTAGATGAACACATGAAACACTGTCACAAAACAGGCAAAGAGAAAAGTATATTGTTGTATATAACTAATAAACATACTCTATAGCATTATGCCGATAATAGAGCGGATTTCGTATGAGTGGGAAACGGACGGTACTGTACTGTGTTAAATTCAATAAGAATATTTTTTTAATCCCTAAGTTACTTCCGGTTTATGTCGTAAGCATGTATGGCTACAATGTAGCTACATGTACTGCATATTGTATTCAAGGTTGTCAGTAGTAGCCTTAACCACCATTTACTTGACAAAACGTTTTGTTTTTTCTCTCCTAATGCTGCAGATCAAAGCTCTGGCTACTTTTGCTAGAACAGCAGTCTATTTTTTTTTACTACTGTGAACCATGCATACCACTGTACAAGTAGATTGTCTATGAAAGATATTTACATTACAATAACAAACAGTATTGTTATGCAATAATAATATTACGATGTAAGCGCTACTTCAACCTAAAAGTTATTTATTTTTGTCGAGCTTTCGGCTCGACAAAAATAAATAACTTTTAGGTTGAAGTAGCGCTTACATCGTAATGAATAGACCAACCTACAACCATTTATTTGATCTAATAATAATATTATTATCAGCTATTTCAAAAAATATACACAAACTAAAGATAATAGTGCATTTTGTAAATTCATGGTTGTAWTAATCATTTTTATTTGACTGTGACTTATTAACTTATGCTAAAATTCATAGTCGCTGCACAGTCAAATGAATAAATGACTCTAATTGCACATTATACATGGAAATATGGCAATAGCATTCAAAGACAGGTAGATGTGCCTGTTTACCAGATAATAAAATCCGCTAGTTTATTTATTTCCAAGAGGTGGACATTGAATAGGGTTATATATAGATAAAACAGATTACATCAATAAAACATTAAAGATTTAGCAAAGTGCTTATTACATATGGTAATATCTATTATATCTGAATAAATTTACAAAATGCTGGGACCATGGGGTTTTGATGGGTTCTTTCATCTGGCTCAGAATTAAGATTTTTCAAACCTGTACAATCAAATTAAGAACTTAATTTGTAGCATCGTTTGATGAAAGTTCAGATTCATTGAAGTTAGCATGATAAGCCAGTTATTTTAACATACCCATGGCCTTTATCATTCATGCAACACATGTTTTGTTGSTTKGTTCCACCATTAAACGAACCTCCCCCTCCCCCACAGGAGTTAACATTGTTATCCCCACTAGCTCCACCTGAGTACCCTCCTCCACCAGCAGCACCTCCTCCACCGCCATATGCTCCTCCACCCCCACCAAACCCCCCTGGAACTGTGTTGACATATGACCTTCCGCCTACCCCTCCATTGATAAAACYCTTTCCACCCTCACCACCAWTTCCATTTGAGCCACCAAAGTGTTTGCTGCTGCGACCGTCTGAACTGAATCCTCCTCCTCCACCACCTAACCAAAACACATTGAAAACAACTGGTTTAGATGCATTGATAGCATATTTCCTTTTTTTTGCGTAGGCCACCACTCCTCTTTGTGATGTYAAGGCACGTGATTATAGCTGTATGATAATCTGTTATARACTGACTGAAACAAACCTGAATTACTACTATCTGCAGTTGTTGCACCGTTTCCTCCTGTGCCACCAGGCCATGATGCTCCTCCAAAACCATTCCTTCCTGATGTAGAAGTACTTCCATCACAGTAAGCTGAATGACGAGATGAAGGGCTCTCGACACCTCCACCTCCCCCAGCAACGATTAAGGGCGTGTTACCTCGTACAACAAAACTACCTCCACCCCCACCGGATGAACTTGACTTTGTGTTGATGCCACCTTCCTGTCCAACAAGAATCTTGATGACTTCGTCCTTATTGAGTGTAAAAACACCAATCATTCGAGCTCCTAATCCGCGATAGTCTCTACTCTTACTTGCGGTGTCATAACCCCCACTTGCCCCCACAGCCTCGATTTGGTACTGGCCTGTGRTTGGTACAGTCCAATGTTGAATACCGTTGRATAAAGTCACCTGGTTTTCGTGAGGTTTGCTTTGGTAATGGTTTCCAATTGAAGTAGGTCCTGTTCTTCCGGTAGCTCCGAGGTTTGTGAAATCRTACWCTTTTAAACCTGAGTTTAAAAGAATAGCAACTCAACAACGGTGCAGTTTTATGTACTCGAAAAAAGAATTATTGCTATTTCATCAGCTCGCTGTAAAAGTCGGTAACTAAATACACTTACAATTTACTGCAATATCCTTGGACGGATGAGGCTAATAGAAATAAWAAAAAMSWWA